TTTAGGGGAGTCTGTTCCAAGTTAGTAAACTAGCTTTCCGGAGTCAGTCGTTGAAAGTAATTAGTGCTGTGGGTTAGGCATTGTGCAGAGTCCCAGTCAATATCGTGGTTCAATATTTAACCGCCGCCTGGTTAGCTCAATTGGGAGAGCGCCGGACTGCTGTGCGGGAGGTCGAGAGTTCAATACCGGCCGGACCAACACTCAGGGTCTTAAAATTAATTGAGAAGAATATGCTTCCTTTCTTTAACATCAAGAAATGGTTAGATATTCTAGTCTTCTCGGATAGGGACGAATAAATGGAGGTCCCGTCTCCTGCAGGGTTGGGGTAGGAGACGTTAATTTCCCACGCACGAGATTACTGTGTGATGGACGTCCTCCCTGGGGTGGGTTGAGTTGGTTAGGTGAAATCGCTACGGACTAAACATGGCTGCCAGAGGCGCCTGTCTGATTTCAACCTTAAAAAAGTTGTAACTAAACACGTATGTTGTTTAGAGAAATAGAGACCTTTACCTTTACCTTTACCTTTACCTTTACCAAAAACTTGCCTATGTTTTTGTCGCGTTTGAATGAAATGAGCGGAGGCTGCGAAAATATAGTGCTTCTCTCTGGATCGTTCTGAAGTAATTTAGAGTTTTTAAGAATGATGGATTTAACTGAGTGGTTGTGAGGGTGAAACGTGAGAGTGAATGGAATGCGGTGGGAATCTTCCTTTTGTGACGTTTGTAGTGCTGAATGTCGATCAATAAGTTAGGCGCGGTGGTAACCCGCTTGAATGACAGAACCAGGGTAACCACGTTTATCAAAAAACTGGCACATTGATTTTGATTTGTGGTGGAAATCAGAGTCATCACTACATAAGCGACGAAGTCTTAGAAACTGAGAAAAAGGAATGGAATTCTTAACGTGAGATGGATGCGAAGACGAATACAACGAGTAATTATGCGGGTCTGTAGGTTTGTAATACACACTAGTGCATAAAAAAAAATAAAGGATAATTCACATCCTTGCTGCCCAAAATATTATGGAAATACATTGGTGCGTAATTCAAAATGTATAGCCTTAACCACTTTGAATTTCACAGCCAAGTCATTGTATGGGTACAAACTCATTACTACCTACCTTTATGCCAGCGAAAAGTGGTTTTACAGGCGCAACAATATCAGACCAAGGATGTGTGTCCAAGGTAGTGAACCTTGCTTTAACTTCGCATGTTATCTGAAAATACGGCCATTCATTCATCGATCGTTTAATCCGTCAAGCAATAAATCAATCAGTCAATCAATCAACCAAAATTGGGAAGATATTTCCTCTTTCTTGTGAAAAAATTTATGGAAATGAAAGAAATGTTTAAATTGTTAGTAACAATCAAATTCCTCCTCAAGCAGTTCAAGGTTAAGGTCTGGAGTTTGTAGAACTCCTCACCACTTTGTTAAACATTACCCAGTCATGAAAAGTTTGAAAGGGATAACCTCGAGTTGTGAAGAAATTTAAAAAAATTTAAACAAGGTTTTCAGATTTAGCTTTATATGATATGGTCATCTCTTTATACTGGTCAAAACTTTGATTTTCCAAGGGCTCCTCAGTGGCAGTGTGAAAGTTAAAGATCAGAATCTCCATCCCCTTCAGGTTTGAACTGTTCAAATGCAGTCCAGGATAAAAGGAGTTATCTTGTTACCTTAATGCTTGATATTGTACTTGCCTTAAAAGTAAGAGCTGTAATTATAGTAAATTCAATTCCAGCCTCACTTCTACACGCCATGTTACGGGTTTCAATTTTAAAATTGTCTATTGCTTTGCTGAATTACCGGAAAAATCCTTACCCATTGTCCAGGCTCATAGTGGTTACTACTTAGAACTGAATGAATTGTTTCTTTATCTGGGCATGGTTTACTGTACTCTTTCTTTCCTTTTGCTGGCACACAGAACGGTTTTTCTGTAAAGTCTGTCTTTTTTCCGTCCGCATACCATTCAATTTCATATGTCACATTCGTCCATGTCCTTATCGTCTTATCGATAGGCACTACACAGAGCAGAGAGACTTTTTCTTCCTCAGAATCCTTGACTTTAATCTCTGGATGGCCCAAGTAGATGCTGGATAATTTCTGTGGTCCAGCTTATTGAGAAACAAAATTATTCAAAACTGTATCATATTAAATAGGGATAACTCTACAAGAATAGTTAAATGCACCCTTGGAAAACATGAAAACAAACAAACAAACAAACAAACAAACGAACAAAGAAACAAACGAACAAACCAAAAAGAAAACAAAAAATAATGTGGTTGTTCCTATTTTCAAAACACTATAAGAACGTTATTGTGTAGAAACACTTGCAAGCCATTAAGTCGAAAGGTATGTAAAGAAAACAAAACATTAGAAGCTTACTCACCGCTGCATGTTGCGAACGATGTTCCCTTTTGTCCATACGGACAAGGTTTACCATCACCTATAACATGAAAACATGTGTGACGTAAATGCTGGCATATCTACATTTCATTTTTCCTCATACACTGTTACCTCATTCCTTCATTGGTTATAAACGTTGGTGATTTTTCGTTTTTATACGGTCACTGTGTAAATAATAGCAAATTCAAATAATGTCAATGTAAATATTTCCCCTTTTTTTGTAAATATCTCTCTTTATTTTCTATTAAATATCTGATATTGTTACTATAGGATAACTTTAAGTGACATAAGCTTTATAGCTTTTACAAATATGGTTTTAATTTTATTGTACGTTCAAGCACATGTTTTGACGAATGCAGACGCTTCTAAATGTTGCGTGATTAATGAAGTAACCACCTACTTGTATTATTGAAAAAAGGATCTAGAGTTAAGGACATTGGGTTCTCATTGATTGCAGTTCATTAAGGGATCTATGATCCCAGTATTATTATTTCTTGAGACTTATGTGCTCTCGTATTTTACTATGACAAAATATTGCTGCCAGCACGCTTTTCAACAAAATTCTTTATAGTTTTTCTAAAACTGATCCGATAAGACACCACAAGAGTAGAAAGTAGAAATATAACAGATCGGAATTTCAAGTAAATCTGAAGTTGTAAACAATGAGGGTCAGTTTTCATGCGAGCCACGCACTTTTACTTCGATGAAGGCCTAGAGGCATGTTATTGTTTAACACAACGGCTAATGAATCATATCATATCTTTTTCGATCTGTTCCCGGGTGTTCAAAGAGCGGATTACAGTATCTTGCGGATAAATGGCCATCCGGCGGATAACATGTGTTACAACTGCAATACATTATATCTATTGGATACTGACTTATCCGCAGGATAGAGTTATCCGCTCTTTAAGTAATCAAAGCCTGTTCCAAAATATGCAAAACGTCATGCAGGTACAATCGGAAAAAGAAACATTTTGTCATGCATTGTCAACATCACTACCGATACGCCCCCCTGATTTACTGATCAGGCACGCTTACCATTAAGTCGCATATAATATTTGGGTCAAACAACGACACGACGAGAAATTCTCCTTAAGGACGAGCAATGAAAACCGTAATGCTCTGATTGTTGTAGTAGGACCCTCGTTTTGTTTTCGGCCTTCAGTATTTTGAAGAACAAAACAAAACCTTTATCGAGAAATGTGTAACGCCGTTCAGCGTGATTTACTGAAAACAAGGTGGAATATAAATACTCACGAAACTCGGGAAGATATATTAGTTATTATGTTACATTTTCTTACCAGAGCAGTAGGCAAAGTCACATTGGGGAGTTGGTTTAAGATAGTAAACGAAAAAGTCAGGATTTCCAGAGCATCACTTGACGCTTACGTCGAACTTAAAGAAACAGCCTTTCCTCCTCTCACGAAAGTTAACACAGGCTCTGATGCTAACAACAGGATCATTGGGACTAGCGGGATGGTTACCGGTGGTGCCATCTAGCCAAATTGGAGATTGGGTGCCACAACGGTCTATGTTCACTTTTTTGGTCGGCATTCGTCCCCCAACAAAGCTAGTAAAGCGGTACCATCCTTCTGCAAGATCCTTATCACACAATGCAGCTTGACCTGATTTCCACTTACTCTCCACGCTGCGCCGAGAATTGTCAATCTCTTTGTGATTGGGCTTCTGACAGCAGTTGTTGCAAGGTTGTTGCCCGTATGAATGCGAAAAAACGAATACAAGAATCGCGGATTTGAGAAGAAATCGGCCAAGACTCATCTTTGGTCGAAAGTTTAGGAAACGCTTCGTCACGGCTCCTCTGACAACGAATTTCTCGTCCCTCCAAAAATATGATACAGTTGTTATTGGCAATACTCCAAGTAACAAGACTTCTTGTGTCGCAATAGAGTTCTAAAGCCGTGACGTCACGTTACCATGGTGCTAAAAAACTCAGTTCCAAACAAAGGCCCAAAACGTGACCGACGCCATGCAAAATGTCGGCCCTCTCTATCTCGTCGCTCATTTCTTTCTTCGGAGAAGAGCAGAAGTCAATTACGAAGGGTGAAAACCACTACAAATCAGGCCATGTGGAGTCATTTAATTATAGTCAGGGTATTTTACGAGGAGAAGTGCACGCAAGCATGCGAAACAAAGTCTACAAAGTCACGGTGAGTGGAAATGGTTCCAGAATACTCACTGCAGATGCGGCTTGTCATTTAAGCTTATTTGTTGCTTTGAAATGCTTCTCAGTGAGATTTTTAAGTTAATAGCAGTTCTTTTCCATGATAATTTAATCGTGGAATAACTAGACGCGCAAACTTTAGCGTTGATCCACTTTGTTGTTAAGGTCGTTCGATGTATATCGATGTGTTAGTTCAATCGAGGCATGGAACTGTTCGTTCGTTTGGAGTCTTCATGTATTTAGAAGTCTTTGACAGTTGCTTTTCATGTCCTCACGCGTCTTTTTTTTTTCCGATTTGCTAGGTTTACTTAGATAGCGAGAATGCTATAAGATCAAGTGAGTGCGAGTGTCCAAGGGGGAAGTTTAAGTGCAGCCACGCGGCTACACTTTTCATTCACGGCATCTACAACGTCAGCCGGACAGATGTTGAATGCAATTGGAAGAAACGCAAAGCAAATACACCGCTCTCTTGGCAATCCGTCGAAGAAATGTTTCCTCCCACAAAACAGTATTGCTGCTTATCAAGAAACCCTACTCAATCTGATCGGTCTTCCCTTTACAGAGACCTACAGGAGTATGGAAGATTTACTGGCCTTTGTTGGCTTATGAGCCCTGAACCAGCTACTGTTAGTAACCTTCCCATACCGACAATAGAGGATATCATTTACTCGGAAGAATTTCTTAAATTACAAGGATCACAGCAACAAATTGATTGCCTAGTAAGACAGGCAAAGATTCCTGATGAGTACATCTTAAAAATAAGTGACATTACCATTGGACAGAGAAACAACCCAACTTGGCATTTAGCTAGAAGGGGCAGATTAACAGCAAGTAACTTTGGTTGCGTTTTGAAGGCCAAACGGGTGACCCAGTCTCTCTTGAAGGGCCTTCTTGGAGAATACGATTTGTCTGGAGTTAAGGCTGTACAATGGGGTGTGAACAATGAACAGGAAGCACTCAAAGCATTCACTATGTTGACAGGGAAAACCGTCCAGGAAACTGGTATTTGGTTGGATGCTTCTGGAATCCTTGGGGCCTCTCCGGATGGAATTGTAGATGATGAAACCGTCCTAGAAGCTAAGTGTCCTTACACTGAAAGGAACCTAACAATTGAAGAAGCCATTGCTACTTCACCAACATTTTGCTTAAAAAAAGCACAGGATGGAAATGGATATGTGTTAAAGAAGGACCATGTCTATTGGGACCAGGTACAGGGTGAAATCTTTTTTACACAGCGAAAGTTTTGCTACTTTGTTGTTTGGACTTCTAAGGACGTGGCTGTTGTCAAAATAGAGCAAGATGAAACCTGGGATGCAAATATTCCAGTCTTGAAAGAATTCTATTTTAAACACATTTTTCCCAAGATAGTGGAAGGTGCATTGTAATTTTATTTCCTTAAACAGACATGCGTGCAAGGCTTTTCACCTGAGAGTATTGGTTGTACTGTCTCTGGCTGTAACTTTTCTCGAGCAATGTCAGTGTCACCAGCAAAGATTTGGTAAATGTATTGGACTATTGGGCCAAATTTTAAAGAGATAAACATAAGATTGTAAATTTGAGTAACAAAGAGTGCAGGTTGTGTTGATCTTTATTATTTCTACTAAATGTCTTACAAAATATAATGGCATTCTGACTTTGTTTATATATTAACATAATTGAAAAAAGTTATTCGATTGACTCAGTTCTATCATATGATGACCATTATATTTGTTTACTGATAACAGCCAAACATCCTTTTTGTACTCAGATCACTCAAACTCTGCCCCCTCACACCCCTCTTTGATAAGTGGAAATTGTAAATTTACCAGTGCAGCACATAACTGAAAAATAACATCAGCATAACATCTTAAATAATATGGGATGAAAGTTAAAATTTTGAAATCCTTTAACCTTGCATTTGCCCTCTCTACATGGATCCTTGCTCTGGCAATGGATTTTGTTTTCCTTGCTTCGCTTTCAGTGAAAACACCATTATTCAAAAAAGGTGGAATGTTAAGAGAAACATTATTGGGCAAGATGTCTTGGATAAGAAAGCCTTTGTCGGCCAAAACCATATCCCCTGGAACAAGATGGTTCAACAGACCTGACTGTTGTACTATGGCTTTATCAGAAATGGACCCAGGGTACAATTTGCTAACAAAAGTTATTACTGCATTTGGTGCAACCCCGACAATTACTTTAAATGAGTTCATACCCCTGTAGCTTGAATAAGTGGCATTTTGCAAACTCATTAACCCCGGGGCTGCGATCTCCACATCGGTACAATCAATGACAATTCTACAAGAAGTAAACTCTGAAAAAGAAGATGGTGCACATAACACATTTTTTTGCCTGGACGGAATGGTTGTCATGATGTCATGAAATAATATGGAATGCAAAACATGGACAAAAGTGGTGACAATATTAGCTATTGTTGCAACACTGCAACTGAAAAGCTGGGCAAGGTGCAAGTTGGTATAATTTTGTCTTAGTTTCATTAAAGTAATGAAAATCTGGTCCTCAAAATTAATGGACTCTACTTTCCAACCAGAATAATAAACAATAAAATCTTTGAATCTCAAGGCATGAAGTACTACAATGTTAAAAACTTCTTTTGTTGGAAGCCCTGTTTCCATTCTAAGAACCTCTACACTCAATCCAGAAGCTGAGTAGTGTTTTTGTGTGTAGCTTTCTTTTTCTTGCAGGTCCTGAAGTTCCTCCCTGGCTTGATTTAATTCTGCCTCCAGTATTATCTCATTTGTTGTCTTGTTGCAACTTTCTTGTTTGGTATCATCAGTGTCATTATTAGTGGACTGCTGCTCAGATGTTGTGATTGCCTCAGCCACCATTTCCTGCACCGTCTTCTGTTTAGCTGTTACTTTTCTCTTTTTCTTTGGTGGTCCTCCTTCACCAGGAAATATCTTATCTCGATTTCTTTCGTAAATTGTGGGCCCATTTAATTTATCTCCATCCACAAAATGACAACTGCACACTCTAGAATGCTTGCTTGGTTCTCTGTCTTTCCTCCTATTTCAAAGAAACAGATAACAGAACTTAATCCTAAACACTTGTAAAGATTTAAATTGCTCAAAATTCGTTTCAAACTTTCAGCTAACTCCTGAAGTCCAGAAGCTCTTAAAAATATATTAAATAAATCAGTAAGCCATATGCATTTCATAGCACAAACAACATTGAAATATATGACTCAGTATGGGCACCGAGAAATTTTAAGTTTTGAAAGTAAGCACATGTTAGCACAGTGGCGTTCAGACAAACACATATTCTTTCAGCACAGTTGTATTCGAGGTTTTTCAAAATTTAAAATGTAATGAAAAGCAAATACACAAAAACCTACTCAGTACCCACAAACTTGACACTACATGCGCTTGTTCATCGGTGGAAATCGCACACTCGCAAAAAAATGGCAAATGTTAAGATGTTCTTTTGAGCAAAGCGCTAATTACAAGTGCCGTTTACAAACCTTATCAGACGGATCCATCGCTTGTATTCGTCTTTTTCCTTTTTATCGCTTGGAAATGCAAAGAACTTGCAAGTGTGGCTTTCTGATGAATGACTGCATGTCGGAGCAAAGCAGTACACCATTGTGCTGTTGTGTTCGTTCCGATAAATTTCTTCCGACAAAAAGCGATAATTTTCAAATAGTATTTGACATTTTGACCCTGTGTTCTTCTTCTTGACCTCTTTTGTAATATAACACAAGGTTAATAAACGTTTTAATTATAAGACAAAGCAGAGACAAGCACTACGTGACCCACGCGCAAGAGATTGTCCGAGTTGTTTAGAACTGACTTTTTCAGCGCCATGGCAACGTGACGTCACACTTTAGAACTCTATTGCTCAACGATGACGTTTTCTTATATCTTCCAAAAAACAAACAAAAGAGCGTCTAATTACAAAAGAAATTCTATCAGCGTTGAATAAGCGTCACCATGGCAAAGTGTCAGAATGTTATAAATATCCAAGGTAACTAAAGACTTCCCTTCTCTTCGCTGAAACCAGCTTAAAAGTTCGCAGAAGCGCAAACAATTGCGACATCGCAAGCTTACTCAAAGATTTCGCCTGACAGGATTGGAAGAGAAAACAATGAGCAGGCAAGAAAGGAAAGAAAAATAAAAGAGACACTAGGGAACAATTAGTTAGGCAGTCTTGTAACAGTTTAAAAGTGTGTGTGACAAATAGATATAGACATTGACACCGATATCGATCGTATCAGTATCAAATAACCATCAATCTCTAAGCTTTCGTAGAAGGTGACCTAAGCAAGTGGATAGGGAGATACAGGAAGGGTTCTTGTGAGCATACTTTTATAAGAGCGTTATTTAGAGTTGTAAAGTAAAATTATCGTCATGAGTATTTAATTGCAACATACCTTTAAAGCAACTTAAAATTATCGTGATTCGATTAAAGAAAAAAAGACTGGGAAATTGCTTTCTGCTGTTACAAGGTTAAAGGTCTTTTGGTAAGCACGTCCCTCTGGCCAAAGCATGCTATTTTCCTTGTCACGCTTATTCATCAGCTATAATGATGGCTATAGGTGCCAGCAGTTTTCAACAGACTGCTCAGCTCACCCTCACTTACAAGTTATCAAAACTCTCCGTCGATTCAAGCTGAATAACATGAACTTCTCCTACGATCAACAGCAAAAGGAAAAAAAAGATAACTGAGGCTGTCGTTGAGCAGTCAAAATAATTTTTAAATATGGGGAATTAGGAACGTCTCGTTAAAAAATTCCTGACCCTTGTAAAATCCTACTGTTCTCTTTTTGCGTTACTTCGGCGATTTCAGTTTGAAAAAACACCGTCCAGTCTACGTTTCTGATGAAAATGGCGGCGGTCCATTTTTTCAGGGGGGAAATTATCAGGGTAGTCCAAAAGGTGCCAAGATGCTCAATATTGCAGTGGGCTGGCTGCACTGCAACATTTTGAATATTGCAGCCGGCTTGCTATAAAGCGGTGAAAAGTTCGCGCCGAGGAAAACATACAAGTATTTAAACCTCGTGTTATCTATGTGAGCATGATAACAGCAGTTAAAATATAACTTTGTAAAAGCGTTTAAGTGACCAAATAAGGTATTACACTTGTAACTCATCTCTCCAGGTAATTAAGATATGATCGTTGGTAAGCTCTAGTCTGTTTATTTGCTCCCTTACCAATAACTCGCTCTCGCTTCACATCCCATTCAGCTATTGGGGTTGTTAATTGTTTTGTTGAAGAGGTAATCTCTGAGCGTGCAAAATAGAGACATGTTCGGACTCGCTGCTATTTGAGCGGTCACCTTAGTTGACCGCTCTAATAGCAAATAGTAAGGCTTGTGCGGAAGTTAACTTTATAAAGGTACATAAAGCAAAGATATTAAATTGAGGTAGAAGTCGCCGAGGCCACTTAACCCAAGCAATTCCTTCATTTATTTATTTTTTATTTTGTTTCAATTTTTCATCTTTGTGCATTGTGAATTTAGCCAGCTCTGATCTTGGGATAGGAGGGATGGGGACGGTGCGATTCTGCAAGACTTTGACAGGATAAAAATTGCAAGAAATATGCTATGGCATTTTAACAAAAATTTAGGTTTGTACTAAACGTTTCTTGCGTGTGAAAGGTATGACTCCCCATGTAACAATTTACACTAAGGAAGTTTGGTTTTTTTATGTAAATAATGAAGGAGTGAGGAATGCGTGACCACTTACTATTGTACTGGCAGCAGCTCCCACTGAAGCCCGTCTTGCAGAAGCATTTTCCATTAAGTAAGGTTCCTTGGTTGATGCAAAAAGTCTGTTTGCAAGGTTGTGTTTTACGTAAGGCCTTCATATTGCACGGCGTCCCACCACATTGCTCTCTTGCCATTATGTGTCTTCTGCTTGTCCGGGTTTCATCGCAACCAACTGCTGGACATGTACTCCATGTGGACCAAGTAGAATATTGGCAATCGACTGAAGTTTGTCCATGACACGCTACTGTTTCTTGCATGTTTGGGGGACAAGGCGTTCCACCGCATACAGGGTGTACAATTACATGCCTGGATCTGTGTTTAGAACCAGGGGTTCCACAATTTACAGCGCTGCATGACGACCAAGAAGACCAAACACTGGTTCGGCAATTTCTTGGAGAACAGCTCCGACGACGACGACGACGACGTCTTCTCCACGTTTCAGTCTCATAGATAAGCAGTGCAATAAGGAAAATGTAAATTAAGGCTGTGCGATAATTTGAAGGCATGATAGTACTTAAAAATTCCGGTTCACAAGCTACTAGCTGCGTTGGGTTCACTTACATTAGTTACTATTTAACTCAGCCTAAGAATGTCAATTTTAGAATCTTCAAGACTTCCTTTCCCGCTTAAACTAGGTTAAAAGTTCATTCGAGATGTTGAGAAAAATCCTGATCCTAATCCAATGTACATTGACCCTAGCAAAACAATAATGGCACCATATAGCCAAGCTAATGAATTGATATTTGGACAAAATTCAAGACAACAATGTGTTGCAATGAGTGTATGCTTTTTGATTTAAAATAACAAACAAGGAATCAATTCCGCTAATGATCTCATGTCAATAATGAGTATTGGAAATCAGTTGTATTCATGTTTGTGTCGGTTAAACAGACAATTATTTTTAATGCAGACAGAGAGAATTACACACACTTTTAAATTTGTTAGAGAAATTATGAACTTCAATACAGTGAGAGCTACACCGGTACTATTCATCAAGAAACTACAATAGAAAGATATCAGTACTGTACCTCCTTAGATAGAGCCTTTCAATCACTTATATCTGAAAATTGCAACAATTTTGTCGCTGCCTGTGCAACCAGAAAGTTCAATGTGAGTTGTGCTGTGGCTGTTTATTCACTCTGCTACCCCGTAATAAAATCATGTAGTTATTGGAATTGAAACCCCTTATCTAACGTTATTCAGTATCGCAAAAGATTATAAGAAATTCATCTTTAAACAAGTATTTACTGTAAGATGATTTGCCAAAAACTGTTGATGTTTGTGGAACTGAAATAAGTTTAGATTCTAAAAGTGATTACAATGAAGGAATATTGTCTGATTCAGTTGATAGCAAATCACTTCTCGAAAATCTTGTAGGAAATAATAGTGAATGCACAAGGTTTTTGATGTGGGTTTTAGGTTTTTGTATGACATGTATTTTTAAACCCGCAAAAAGGTCAAAATATGTGTATGCCCTCTTGGTATTTAATGAAAGTCAAATGCCTCTAATTTAATGTCCTAAAACTGTAGATAGCACTGCTTCTCTTGTTGTAGCCTTCAGCAATATTCAATATTCAGAGATTTTCCTACTAAAAACAATATGAATTATTGAACAGCAATATTGCTTCAACCACTGATTTCTTACAACTCCCCTTGGGTGAACATTTGGCAACAAACTATGCCTTGGTGCCTATAATAGATAAAAAGTTCCCTTCTCCTTGCAGTTAAAGGCAAATACATTACCTACTCAGGGTTCGTAAAAGTCTTAAGTCCTTAAGATGCTTGAATTTAAAAATAAAAAATTAAATGCCTTGACAGTACTTAAATGTGAGGAGAAGGAATTGATTTTTGCAATACTTTTTCTTTAGCGATTTTCAAGTTGAAAATTACTGTACTTACTTTGAAAAGCTGAGAAATAATATTAAATAACTTTAAAATTGCTTATGCAAATCTTTCCAAAAGTGGTCCTTCAATTTTCTAGCACTTGACCTACAAAGTCATTGAAAAGTCTTTCAGATGCCAAAGGTTGAAATTCAAAGGAATGTGGTGATATTATTTTGATTGTTGTCTAGTACCATAACAACGTTCATTGCACTCCGGCAGACAACAAAAAACAAAAAACGCAAGTAGACTTATTCGTGACCAGCAATGAAGAAATTGCGTGACAACCATAACAATGGCATATGGTAGTCCCCTAAAGATAATTTCAGATGTGCCATTTTGAAAGCCCGAGTTCACGCAGCTATGCGTCTAGTTACACAAGTAACACCAAGTAGGTGAATCGCCGTTACCTCCAAAAGCCTAATATATAGATTAGCCATGTCTACTCAAAAGTTGAGCTCAAGTTAGTTTATTTTCTAACTTTTAACTTTAATAAAATTACTCAGCACGGGCTGTTCAAAGAGGCTATTCAAGGGGTTAAGGGACCAGCTTGGTGGGGGGAGGGGGGGGAGGGGAGGGAAAATGACGGGACAATGGTCTCACAACTTAGAAGGCGATCGACACGCATGCTGGTCAATGGTATTTTCTTCTATCATTCTGAATATTACAAAAAAATCACGAAACCAAAAATCACTGAGCGCGATGACAAACTCGGTAATCGCATGATCGGACTAGTCATCAACCGACCAATCCCAAACCTTGTTTACTAGAACATCTAGGAAACTGACGAGAGGTATCGAACGAGGGCCAGAAGAAAAGAATCGGCAATTATTAAGTTGCTAAGATCATGGATCCATTACTTATTGTAGGACATTATCCTCCTCTTCTTTTATTGTTGTTCATTTATTCATTTATTCATTTATTTGTTTAAGCAGGTTGATTAATTGGCAGCTGTAATAGCTGATGGGGACCTGCTGTCCTAACCCACCCATCCCACCCCAGGGGAGGACATCCATCACACAGTAATCTCGTGTGTGGGAAATTAACGTCTCCTACCCCCAACCCTGCAGGAGACGGGACCTCCATTTATTCGTCTCTATCCGAGAAGACTAGAATATCTAACCATTTCTTGATGTTATAGAAAGGTAGCAAATTCTTCTCAATTATTCTCACTCAGCGGTACCTTTCTGTGCAGGTAAGCCGAGAATGGAAAATGAATGAAGAAAAAAAGCAAAGTAATCCCACTGACGGCGAGGAGAAAAAATTAAAATCGATAACAAATGAAATAAAAACTTGAGATTAACTGTGGAGTATATTTTCCATTTTGGAAAAAAAACATCTTAGGGGGCGAAAAGATAAAACAAAAGAATGATTCATTAGACCATTAACTGATCTTAACTGACCATGATGCGCACATCTCACATCAATATAACGTTTTGCAATGCTTTTTGACTTACGTCTTTGGCAAAGAAAGAAGCTGATATTGATACAGTGCGAGCCGGCTATGTGTCATGAATACTGGTCAGAGGGTTCTTTGGTGCGACAGCTACCATTTACAAAATCTCAATTTGAATGTCTACTGTAACAATAATGCACTGGCAGAGATGAACGGTTGCATATAGGGCAAAGTGCAATTACATTTAGGACAGTTATTACATTTAGGCCTTCTACACGGCTCACGTCAACCCGTCCGGCCCTACACTCGTTGGCATTTATGATTTTTTTCCATGGGATTGCACTCGCGTGACCGGACATGTTATTACATAAAAAGTGGTATTACATCTAGGATTTTATTCCATTTATGACAATTATTACATATAGGCCTTCTACCATCGGCCCATTTGTACTATATTTTGATCGTGCCGCTTGTTTAGTTTGGTGCCTTCCTGAGGACGTTAATGGTCTGGACCCAGATGCCAATAAATGCTTAATGTAGAATTACAAAACAAAAAACCTCTGCTTTTTACGGGAAAAACTGGAACACGAAATATTTAATTTTCCACACTTAGCTGTATTATCTCAATTAATAAGAGTTGCGCTAAAGTTAGTATGCCCAGTCAAGACTCCGCACTGTCTTTGTATCTTTTCCCTAGGCGTCTGCTTCTTTTTGTCACTGCATTAAGTAATTCAGCATACACTAGCAAAAATGTTGAAGCAAATTTAAGCGATCATTACATTTGAAATGATTAAAACAGTTCAAAAGAAAAAAAAACCGAGCTCTTGGTCAGAATTTATTTCGAATCATCGTCAGGTTTGTACTGGCGTTAAGTGAAAAAAACATTAATAACAACAGAAGCAAAACAACAAATCAAACACACACACACACACACGTGCGCGCACACAAATGCAAAAACAAAAAGCAAAAACAAAAGACCAAAAAACAAACAAACAGAAAAAAAACGGAGCAATGCTAGGAAATTTTGAGAATTTGAATTAAGGATATGCACCTAATGAAAATCGAGCACGCTCGTCTGCCCATGCCACTGCAAGTACAAAATAAACAGACTGGGGCTTCAATGTAACATCTAATTTTACTTCATATTCGAGGTTTTTCGATCCCCTTGTCTATATCAATGATCATCACAAAGCTTTGTCACTCCCATCGTAAGTATTTTGCTCCATACTCAGGTCTTGTTGGACGATTTCGTTCCGCATCCAAAATCTCTTGCCATTTGACAAACTAATGATGATAAAAAGTTATGTTGATAATTATCAACCATGAAGAATGTGTTCCATCTCGATGTATTTTGCTTTGTTAGTTCACTTTCAAATTCAACTCACCGCTTCTCCGGCCATTATTCGTAAATGCTCCTCTCCGGCCGTTGTTCGAAGATGGTACATTGATGGTAAAGCTCTCAATTTCGTTGACACAATCTGCAATAAAAAGAAGAGTGGCAAGAGAAATAACAGTTTGAGGCTTCATTGTTTCGTTGATTGCAACCCTAGCGAGTTGACAACCCAGTTATCGACCCTTAAATATTGCGTTTTTATCTCATTGCATATTCATTTTTTTCTGTCGATGCCGCCAATCGTCTGGAACATGATGCCCATAATTGCCTCATATAAAATTACCAAAAACAGCTCCGCTTAACACGGAACAAACTGGAGCACGGAATGTTAATTTGGATTCTCGCACTTAATAATATTATCTTAGTTCAGAAAAGAAACATGGAAAAAAATTAAGATCTGGTTTGGCCCAGATTTTGTTCCTGCCCAGTCACATCTCAGGCAGCTACTCTTCTGCTGTGCAGAGTCTGCGTTGTCTTTAGTTTAGCAACCATTTTAGGCAGGTGTTGTTTCCAAGGTGTTTGCTCTCTAATTCAACGCGTTAAGTAATTAAAAAATATACTGGTAAGCGATGTTGACGAATGAAATTGCTAAAACAACTCAAAATAGAATAGCCTTAATCACGGCATGTTTCGTTATATACTTTGGATTTTTTACTGACGCATATATACAAAAAGCGAAAATTGGTAAATGGTGCATGTCTTATGGCAAATATACTTTGCGGCTCAAAAAACTAGAGAGGAGCGATCACGAAACAAAAGCAAGGCTTTTATAGATTGCACCTGTTTCAGTTACGTCCAAAAAAATATGTCTCACCGAAATTGCATCATGGATCTTAACCGCATTTTTTACACCTGTGCAGTATAGTTTGCGTCATACATATAGAATACTTCATAGAAAGTGCGTGCGTACGGTGTTTACACACGAGTTGTGGCGTATCAGAGATCTCATTCGTTCGCTTCGCCCACTTGTTCGATTTCTGATACAAAACAACGAGTGTGTAAACACCGTACAAAGCACTTTCCATGTGGTATTATGTTTGTTTTACACATATAGAGATTGAACACCCTCCTTAAATTATGACAAGCTTTATTTAAACAAATGTGATCAAACAACAACCACTGAAAGAAAGCAGCTTCGTAAAAAGGGAAAGGGCTCAAATAAAATCCAAAAGTTATGAATCCAAAAGTTATGAATCGTGGATAACGAAACGCTTTTCGCTCATGGCTTTCGCCGAGACAGGAACTTTCAATATCAACGATGGAAGAAATACGAATAAAAACTATTTGCAAAGCGATGGCTTGTGCGGTGTACAAAATGCGGTGTGTAAAATAAAAAAGTTATAAATCCAAAAGTTATGAATCGCGGATAACGAAACGCTTTTCACTCATGGCTTTCGCCGAGCAGGAACTTTCAATATTAACAATGGAAGAAAT